TCCTTTTTCCATTGCTTTCCATTTCTGCTTTCTTTTGGTATTTTGAATAGTTCTTAAGAGATGCTTCCTGGACTTCTCCATGAAGAGTGGTGTGCTGGCTGTGGCAAAGCAGACTACCTTCAAAGATGGAAGAGGGAAAACAAGAAACGTAACCGACCTCAGGGGAGCTGCAAAGTAGGTTTTACCCTTCTTAAGTGCTTGTGTGTTGGATTCTGAGACTGTGAAATAATTTAGGAATTGAAAAACAAAGATCAGAATCTGTTGTATCAAGTGGCTGAGGGTACCCAGACGAGACTTCCTGGTCGATGGTTTCTGTGCCTGAGCACTTGCAAAGTTCCAGTAGGGAAAACCAGCACTGTGGTATGCAGAAATGAGCAAGGAGCCAAAAGATTTAGTGTTCCTCAGAATGACTGTCAGTTTTGAAAACATTCCACTTGGTTTTCCTGGCCAAAATTAATAGCAAGGGAAGTTAAAGGAGGTTCAAATTGAAGTCTTCATGCAGCAGGACTCGGGCCAGCCAGTGATGGCCTCAGCTCTTCCTTCCTACAGCAGCCTTCCTAGTACTGTGGATTGTCCTAGTACTTTTGCATCTCACCTCATCAGCATGCTCCTGTTTTTAGCACACGTCTGAAGTTCAAAAGGCAACGTCCTGGGCTCTGATGCCAGACAGCACCTCCCTTGCAGATGGACAGCAAGCATCTCCAATGCTGGGTAGCAACCAGCTACTCTCCATCCTCAGGCAGTCTGGAGCACAGGGGTACCTTTTCTTACCTCTGGATCTGAGGCTGCCACATTCTAGCACCTTCCCAGCAGTGCTAGCACCCGCACCTTAGGAAGTTTCCTTCTTCTGGCATCTACAACTACATTGTTTGTTCTTTGACAAGATGATTCTTCATTTCTTCTGAGGAAACGTTAATATGTGCAAGCACTTTGCAGGATAGGAAAACAACTCCAAGAAGTCCTCCTTTTGCTTCACTGAGCTGTTTTCTGCTTCTCTGCTATTAGCAGTCTTGTCTTTTCTCAGCAGCATCAGTAATATCCTGGATGCAAGATCAATTGGAGTAAAAAGTTTTGAAGACTATGCTATTTCTTGGTACTGGATTTTAATGTAAGATTCTAATGGATAATTTTATGTTTTTTCCAAACTCACTATGGAATGTGTAGGGAATTCAAGAATTGATCACATACGTGTTTGTTACCAAACCTACTTTTAAGCTTTGCCGTAAAGTTGTTATGGTTCTGTATGTGAGGTAAGGATAGCCCAGCTTACATGCATACAGTATGGTCTGGAGTAGCTTTTTAATATCTTACCAGGCAGAAAGCCAAGAGGTGCTGCTGTGTTCTGTTGCAGGACCCATCTGCCTGGTAATTCCAAACCTAAAAATTCTTGATTAAGAGACTTTCAAACCAATTGCAGTTGCTAAATGTCATGAGTATCTATATAAAACACATCCCAATTTCCAAATTGAAACTAGCAATATGTAGTTAAATTTATTGTAATAAACAAATCCAGTGCAGCAGGCAAAGCAACTTAAAGAACAAAAACTACTGAACAGAGTTAGCTTTATCTTGCAATTATTACTCAATAACGAGCAATTAGTAAAAATGCAGCACCAAAACAAAAGAAGTAGCTATTTTGCTGCAGAAGTTCTGTGAGTATATATGCCTAAATGGCCATTCTCTCTCGATCTGTTACTGAAATCAGACTTACAGTGAAGATTCTCTCAAAGGAGATGCTGCTCAACAGATGGGCTGGCGAGAGAATTGACCATTTTCTGAAGAGACTTTCTCCATACTGAAGCCAGTTTCCCCATTTCAAATAGGATACTTTTATAAGGGATTGTTGTTACTTTTAAAGTATTTGGGTAGAATTTTCCTCACACTTTTCACCAAATGACAGCATGCATCCAGTGATTTCTGGGCAAACATATGAAAGTGCCAGAGTTTGGGTGATGAGAGTGAAGGCCTGATGGTGAAAGGAGGTGGGATTAAAAATCTAATATGGAATTGCTCTGTTCTTTTTATCCTACTCCCAAAGAACTGCTGCTTTCAAGGCTCAGTTTAAGGGAAGCACTCTATTAATGACAGTTGTTACCATGTATTCATTCAGTTTTGGTGTTACTAGAGCAAATCTGAAGCTAACCGTAGATAAAGGTATCTTACTGCCTTGAAGAAGAGAGTCAGGAACTCCAAAATGACAGTGCTTTTTTGAGGAATACATTCTGAATTTCAAACAAGCCATTCAGAAGGGGAACACGCATCATGCTGGGAAGCCTCTAAGGGGCTAGGACTTAAGACCAGTTTACAAAGGCTTAACTAAATAAACTGATGTTCTTTTTCTTGTCCCTCTGCCCGTCTGGCTTAGTTTGCCCAAAACATCCGGTTTTGATTGTTTGTGGTCAGGGTGACCCGTTTGTTATCTTTAGTCACTGGCTAAATAAACTGGGAACGTTCAGAAGAGAAGTTCCTGACCACAGGGAAGAAAAGGGTTTCATTTCTTTTGTGGCTGTTCTAACACAAAATTCTGATGTAACACCTCAAAGTTCTAGAGAAATGAAATGTTCTGTGAAGCGTCTGAGCTGGATCTTTGTTGGATGGAACCATTGTTCACACTGCTTTATTTGCATTGCTTTAGAAGAAACCTGCTGAGTAAAGGCCTTTTGCAGTCATTCTTTCCTTTCTGACTTGCTTTCTGGGAGTGAAATGAAAGCAAATGTTTCCTTAGCACAGACTTGATAAAGACACTGGAGACGTCCATCCTAGGGGTCCCACTGATGGCTCTGAACAGGTTCTTTTTATGCATCACTATGCCCTGATCATTTTCTTCTCTGATGGGTAGAAAGGATCACTGGTTTTCCTCCTAAAATGAATTCTTTTTTTTCTAGGAAAGCTCCTCAAATGTTACTTTCCTAATATTGTTTCTGTGCAAGCAGGGATTTTAAATGGAGGACATAAACCAGTAACCTCCCCACACCCAGGTATTTCTCCCATTTAAGTTTGTGTGCTGTAGACTAGGCCATGGCCTGGAAAAGGCAGTGAGTTGGTCAGCCAGTGTAAATGACCAAACCAGACGTGTGCTGGTCCCATTCAGACGCCCTGAGAACTCGGTGTACGCAGACAATTCTGGCTGTGTCCAGATCATCATATATAATCTGTCTGTTTCTAACAGCAGAGAGCCATGAGGAAATATTTCATAAGGAAGATTTTGAAATACATTTTTGCAAACCGTTCTCCTACACGAGACGAAGGGACCCTCATTTGGAGTAAGAGGCGTGCAAGAAAGATGCTCACACTTGTTCTCCCTGGGTTTCTGTTTCTTGTCTTTCTAGTGGGCTGTTCGTTGCAATGATTGTGAGTCTGCTCTTCCTTGTGTTATTGAGGTTCACAGCTGGGATTCTCTTCTGGATTTTCATCTTTGGCGTGACTGGAATTATAGGTTATGGTAGGTGTAATCCTCCAGCCTCTGAGGCTGTTTTTCCTTATTGCTTGATTTTGGGCAAGGAAAGCAAGTGATTACATCAGTTAAATGCTGTAGTTGGGAGAACTAGTGCCTAGGTTTAGACTCAATTAAATGAGAAGGGCCTAAATGGCAGCAAAATTTCGTAAGAATCCAGCTGTGCTGATACTTAGCCCCAGATGTAGTAACCTGAACTATTTACCCCCAGTGTACTTAGTCCACTTTGACTTGTACTGATCTTTCTTATCTGTAGATGTGATGTTATAGCTGGCTAGTCTCGCAGTAACGCGTGTTTAGTTTTGCTTCCCCGACATGCTGAGGACAAAACGCTTCACTTGTCAAAGATTTAAATAACCCCAGCCTTGTCTTTGCACTCTTCAAAAACGCTCATTTGATATTGATTGATTTTTAACAGGCATCTGGCATTGTCGCTGGGAGTACGACCATCTTAAAGGAATACCTGGATCTGAGCTCACTGTTTCTGGTACTGGATTCCAGACAGACTTGAGAGTGCACCTGCAGCTGAGGCAAACATGGTTGGCATTTAGTAAGTGCCCTTTAAACTTGGTATCCGTTAAGGGATGTTCAGAAGATTCAGTCGCTGTCTTGCTACAGTTTCTGCCTTGTTAAATCTCCTCCTCTACATATGTTGCTCATAGAAGTAATCAGAATTCACTTTCTTTGTATAGTACAAAAATCTACCTTTTCTGCAAAGTGACTAGCGTATGTGTAAGGGGCCAGAATGCAGTCGCACTAGTGATGAGAGTGAAAAAGGCTTGTGTTCCTAGCATTCTGCTTCCCGTGTGTTCAGTCTTCACAATGGGGAAGCAGAAGGCAAGAACTAAGTCCCGATGAAGATAAGGAGGGGCATTTTTGTCTCTCAGTCTGTTTATGCCCCCTCCTGGAGGGCCCCAGAAATGAGACGAATAACTCTGTGGGTCTTTTGTAGACCTGTTTACATTCAGGTCACTGCATTTTCTTGGAGGCTGTCCTGAGGCTGTGTAATGAACCATCACAAATGTCATCACTTCTGGTTTTCAGAAGTGCTTCACTGCTTTCTCTTACAAGGGCAGTGTATTTAAAACAATCCTACTGGAACAAGACAAGGAGGGGCACAAGAGAGAACAAATACCTGTCAAACACTATTTGTGCTGCTGTTACTACTCTATTGGCAGGCCTGCAGGCACTAACTGATGATGAATGGCACATAGCCTAAAGCACTGCTTCTCCCTATTGGTAGCTAAATGAATAGAGCAGTAGTTTACTCCTTTAGTCTGCTTTCTCTGCTTTGTGTCTTCAAGTAACTGTGTTGGATCATTGAGCTCAGGAGCATCTTTGCATATTGTTGAGGCAGAGCTTTTTAGCATGCTAGCCCTAGAGAATATTAGGATTTTCTTACATCTTTCTGTGTAACTCCCCTGCCTGATTCTTAGCAGCCAATGTACAGTTTATCCAGAGGTCAGTGTCACTTTCAGATGAGTGAATTGAGGTACCACTAATGGGGACAAGCTACGTTAACTTAAGAGATCTGAACTGGGCTGAGACCAACTGCAAAGCAACCTGCCTATGTATTCCTTCATGGAGAAGCATATCAAAAATAGGTGCTGAAATGTGTGTAACAAAACCTTTGTTCTGAGCACCACAGGGGTCACTTGCCACGTGCAGTTCTGATGGCTAGGGGTACTGCTATCAGTACTTGGGATCGCAACTGAACATCATCTCTGACTATCTGGGTCTGGATTCTGAGGCTGTGTCAAAGCTGTGGGACCTGAAGCCAATTCCCCTGTCCCTGTGCAGACCTCCAGACGCCACGGCTGAGGGATACCTTCCCTTTGTCTTCCTCTCCCTCCACAGAACTCTTGGTTTCAGCTGGAGGAGACAGGGCCTGCTGTGTGTAACCATCCACCACCGCTGGGCTGGTTTAATTGTTGTCTAACCCTCTGAGGCACCCAGAATTAAGGGATGTGTCTCAGGGTGAGAGGAGGTGTGCTTCAGGCATTTAAGACTCTGCCTTCTCGAGGTGGAGTCCAGAGAATTCTTTTGCTTCCTATTGCAGCAGTAGGATTTGAAGTGACACAAATAGAAATCAGAGAGAAGCCAACTCTTTAAACAAGATCTGGGTTATGAATCAAACACTGCTCACAACTAAGAGAGGAAATGTTTCGGGACATGGTGCTCTCAGCTCTCTAACCTTAGAGCAAGTTTGTGTGATTCCAGCATCACAGCTGGAAGGTGAAAATCATTTGACCAAAACTGGACAAAAAAAAAACCCAAAGGCCCTTTGTTTTCAGAAGTGCTTCACAAAGCCTCTTTGGTTTTTTTCACAGGAATGAGGGAAAAGGAGCTCACGCCAAGCTAACGCTCAGACAAGCCTGTTGATTTAAGTACACGTAAATGTTAAAGGAGTATGTATCAGAAAACTGCACTCTTCAGGCAAAGTTGACTCTTCATCTCCTTTTTATTTGTTGTATCTAAATACCACGGATGAGCAGCATTAGAGTATAAACGTGCAAAATGCTTGTTATGAAAAGCAGAATTTGTTAGGGGTGTACTGGCAGGGTGGTGCCCATTCTGACAAACTCTGGGCATGTAGAATTTCCCCCCCCAAAGCTATGAAATGGGATTGATGATTGGCAGCTGCAGTGAGAGAAGGAAAGAGCTGCTCCAGCAGGGAATTCTATGGAGTTCATGAGCAATAGTGCAAAACACAAGGGGTGGGGAGAGGGGGGAATTACAGAGGCAGCCTGTTGGTTCGGTTCTTCATAAACCTAACTTTTGTGTGTTTCCAGTGGTAATACTTTGTGGTGCTGAGGTCATAATCATACTGATGCTGATCTTCCTAAGGAATCGGATCCTGATCGCCATTGCATGGTGCTTATAAGAGCTTTCTCGTTTGCAGGAAGACATTTCTTATCTCCCAGCTCCCTGCCTTAAGAGTACAGACCCTGTTAGTGGCCCCATGTATCCTGGGTGCAAGGAGGTGTGTGCCAAGTGTGGGGCACTGTTAATAGGAGCCTAAGAGCTACAGCTGCCAGCTTTGCTCTGTCATTGGATTGTCTCCAGAGAGACATATACTAGTGGTAGAGGAGTGGTGTTGCTTTGGCTGGGGCTTTTAATTTAGGAAATACCTTTTTTTCTGGAAATGCATAAGTCTGCAGAGGGAAAAGGAGAATTCCACGACCAGACATTGTGATGTGGTGTGGTCCAAGGCTCTTCTTTTCAGCTCTGCTTACACAGGAAAGCAGAGCAGGATGTGAGAGTTGGGAGGCCTCTTCATTTTGTGTTTTCTGAAATCTGGATAGGCTTTATTCACAGTGGTTCCTGGTTTATCCAGTGCCAACTCTTAGTTGTGGTTTGAGTTTGGTTTGGGTTTGTTTTCATGGGAATATAAGAAAGGAGAAATGGACTTAACACGCCCTTGGATTTAATTGCAAATAAGCTAAGGCCTTGAGGGCCTCGGAAGTAGGGCTCTGTTAGAGCACATGGAGTTAGCTCTGAGTTTATCTGTGTGCACTTGCTTGTAGTTTTCTGCCCTCTCTGTTGGTGTTATGGTTCTCAGGAGTCAGGGTTTAGGATTTTTGTAATGGGATTGGGAAATGCTGAGGTTCTGCCTTCAGCCAGGTACCTGTTTCCTGTCTTATGCTACTGTGCAGTTAAAGCATTGCAATTAATTTTGGCAGGGCTGAATTATCCTCTTTAGTTCCTGTTCATGACAATACAGGAACACTGTTAACGCTCTGCAGCACTTTTGTTCACAACCTTGACAGGTAGAAGGATTTCAGAAAGTTCATAAACTTCCCGCTGGGAAGTGCTAACATTCTGTAGTTTTTCAGCAGCACGGAAAGGTCACTTGAGGGTGATGGTTTTACTCTCCTGCGTAATGCATGAGGTGAAGCTCTGGGTGCAATTCCTGGAAACCTAACAGCCCATGCCCTGTGTTCGGGAAGGTGCAAACCAAGCTGCTAACGACTGGAAATCAAATTGCATTTTTCAATGCCTTTTAACTCCTCTTTCAAAACTACTGCAATTGTCTTGAAATCCATAGGGGCAAACAGTTAACAGTCGTTACTCCGTCCATGGTGTCTGTGGAAACCAAGGGGCCTATCGTGACCTGCTGCACGCTGCTAGTACGTAGTGACTGTTTCTGCTGTGTGCCTCTACTGGACTTCTGCATCTCTAGACTCAGACAGAAATGGATGTGTTGCTCTTCAGCTCCTGACTGCACACGAGGTTTCCCTTGCTCTCTCCCAGCATTTACTAGTTTAGCAGCAGGAATTGGGTAACTTTGTCTGCTTTTACATTTTGGAAACTGCCTTCTGCCAAACACATAGCGTCAGAAATGCCACAAGTCAATCCTGCAGGAAATACTAAGAGACAGAAAGGCTTGTGATAAGCTTACAGAGTCACTGGAGAGACAATTTAGAGTAACAGAAGAGGCAGGTGGCCAGAATGTGAAGAGAACCAACCTGTAAGCTTGAGTGACCGAACCCCTGCTCTCTGCAATCCCATCCCATGAGATAACCCAGCTGGAGGCGCTCACCTCTGAGGTGGCTGTGTCCGGTTTACCCAGCGGGGCTGTATCCACTCACTCGTTTACAGAGAGGAGTCCCTGGAGGAGTAGCAGCCGACGCGCTCAGGTTCCTGCCAACAGCGAAAGGCCATTCTTCTTTCTGCCTGCCAGCAGCCAAAGGCAGGCACCATTCATTTAGGGCACATGCAAGGAAAGTCACATAGTCCAGGAAGGTGTTAGCACGTCCTGGCATTACGAAGACAAACTGAATGTCGTGCCCCAAAATAGTCAGTACTTAAGGCAGGCAAGGGCCTGGGGACAGAGTCCTCAAATGCAAAATAGCGAGAGGTAATTTCAGGTGTGTAGGAGCCGAGGGAAGAGCATATGAGCTGAGCAGCGTGGGACAAGGAAATAAAGGGTCATTACTGCAGCAAGAAGATGTGATTGAAATGGGTTTGTGGCGTGGAAAGAGCTGGATCTGTGAAGCAGTAATGGAGAAGGAGGAAGTAGAAGACAGGCTGGAACATGGCAAATTGATAATGTTGATTCTAGTGCTGCTGATAAAAGTGGAGTGGTAAAAATGGCAACATGAAGATGTAAAGACATCTGAAGAAAGAGCCTGCAGTATTCTGAGATCCCAGCTCTAGATTATGCTACCACTATCACCGAGTATCTCAGAGTAAAAAGGATGATGCTAGAAGAGGACTGAAAAAAAAAGCTTGTTTCTTAAATTGCTGCAGCTTACTGACATGTTTTCTTTCTTTCCCAGGACTGCTGGCTATATAATGTCTATGTTGTTCTAGCCAATCGTCACCTTCATACTCATTGCAGTTTGTATTTCCTATGAGGCTGTGACAGCTGTGTATCCTTCTATCTGTGTACCTCTCTGGAGGAACAGTCTTCTGGTCTACAAGACCGGATCAGTCTCTGCTTTCACCTTAGCCAAACCAGCGTTAAAAGGGCTATTTGGTCACTTGGCACTTGCTGCACCGGTGCACTCTTCCTCACTGGGCATTTGTATGTGATGTACCAACTGGATAGTGAATTCAATGTCATTAGAAAGAACTGGACTGAAACCCATGCCAAGGTAGAGGATCATACAAGGTCTTTTATACTACATAAGGTTGGCTTCAAGGGGTGAAAAAGGAACCTCAGCAAAGTGCACTCTTCCTCACTGGGCATTTGTGTGTGATGTACCAACTGGATAGTGAATTCAATGTCATTAGAAAGAACTGGACTGAAACCCATGCCAAGGTAGAGGATCATACAAGGTCTTTTATACTACATAAGGTTGGCTTCAAGGGGTGAAAAAGGAACCTCAGCAAAGAGTGACTATGCCCTTTCTTGGCTGTATGCTCTGTGAACCTGATGTTAATGGTCGCTTAGTTAGCTTGGGTGGGCTCCACGTGTGTTTTGTACAGAATAATGTAGGGAAGGAGTGAGAGAACACAGAGCGCCCGGAGTCCTCTGAATTGCCTGACAGCAGCCATTGTCTGTCCCTGGAAAGGCAAGGCTTTGGTAAAGTGTCAGAAAGGGGACAGTCACGTTTTGCAAACAAATTGTTCTTTGTCATGCAAAGAGGGCCATGGCATACAGCTCTGGGATGAAGTCTGCCTGAGTTCTGTAAGTAATGAAAGTATTCAGTCTTGTCTGTGGCCCTTCATACCCATCTCTGCATAGCAAGAGCGTTTTTCTGTGAGCGGCACAAGTGTTTTAGAGCTTGTGGTTACCTCCTGCAGACTCCTGAGTTGCTCAAAGCCCACAGCTCTGGGATTCCTCCTTGAAAAACCTCATTCAGTTTTCTGGCTACATCAGGAGAACCTGTGTATAAAGTAATGGCTAATCCAACACCATGCAAGTATGCAAAGCTGACTTGTGACCCAGAGGGAGGTGTTACAAATACTTCCCTGCTGTGAGAGCTATCCTAATTGTATTTCTTAATCGCTGTTAAATGCAATGTGAGAAAATGTGCGTACCTTAAGTAATGATTCCTCCTGTTAAATCTGAAAATAGTGCTTCGTGTTCAGCTAAGACTCCTTTGTTCAAAGCAATTTAGAGCTATGAAGCATTTTCTTTGTGCAGTGTCCTGTGAGCAGGTGAGTATCAACCAGCCTCATTTTCTGGGTGAGAAAAGAAGACGCAGAAATAGAGGTTTATTTGGAAAAGTGTTCCTGAATTCATGAGGATTTCTGGTTTTGTGGTTCTCAAAAGGCAGTGGAAGAATTTGAAAGCTGTGCCTCAGACTTGCCCAAAGAGCAGCCAGGTTTCAAAGCAGAGGCTTGGCTGCTTTTGCACAGTGATGACCTTTATGGAGCTCCAGAAATACTTGTCTTTTGACTTGAGTGTGGGGTTGAATTGAAGTGTTTCTTGAAAACTAGAATTATTTATCAAATGTTATATCAAGGTTATTTTCAGGTGTTTAAATGTCAATGCACTGCTGTGGTTAGGTACATCCCAGACAATTCCCCAACATCCTGATACACGAACACTAAAAAGAAAGGGGTTAGGAATTGACTGGTTTTATTTAACGCCCAAACTGAGCAAACGCATGAATTGAACAACAGAAGTAAGGAAGAGTAATTTCATGTAAAGACTGCTCCTGTTTTAATACCGTGAGATGGGTAAGGGAAGCTGTGGCAGCTTGTACAGAATGGCTCAGCTCAGTTGATTTCAGCTCGGTTGTGCTGATTTGCACAAGCCTCTGGTTTTGACTTACCCTCTGGTTTTCAATTGTTCTTATTTCCTCACTATTGCTTTTTATGTGAGCAGCTTTTCTTTGTTTGTGTATCTTAAAAGTATATTTCTGACATTCAGATTCCATATCTCTAGGTTTCAGTCGTGTGGTAAGCAGCCCTGTTTGCCAACCGTATAGTTTAAAGTTAAACACCTGCATAGGACATGAGTCCTTATATATGCAAACAGGTTACATAGTACTAGAGTGCAGTGTTGAATGATCTAATGAGACATCAAGCAGAATGATGTGATTTGTATGAAGCTGCTAAATTTCAGAGCCTGTGAACACAGGATTCAGTGCTTATCATTGTGGTGTTGATTTCTCTTCCCGGACAGGCTTTTAGCACAACCAAGGTGACTGAACTGTGTGCAGGTGCTCAGCGTACTTTTGCTTTTTATGGAGGAGAAAGCCCGTACCTGAGTACCTCTTCATCTTCCAGGTAGCCGATGCCTTTGTCTTTCTCTGGCTGGTGAACTTTGCAGTTGCGCTGGGTCCACGGACCCTTGCTGGTGCCTTTGCCTCTTGTTCCTGGGCCTCTGGCAAACCAGCTGATGTTCCACTATGGCCACTCTTCATTGGAACAAGCAATGCGGTGAGACTGTGGGGCTGGACGTGAGCCCTGTCACATATCCAGCAAGTGCAGGTTTTACATGTAGGGAAGCCATTCTGCAGATGCTGCAGCCCCCCCGACCCGACTGCCGCCCCCGCAGCACGCGCACACACACGTGTGCACGTATGGTCTGAGGTGTCATGAGCCCAGAGGGCTGAAAAGCATTTCTCTTAGACTGTATGATTTATAATGGTAAGAGAGATATATAAGCATTTCTATTATTATTATGGATAATTTTAATTATGTATATTTCTATATAATTATATATATTCTATAATTATAAAACCTTCCTTACGTGTTCATGTGAAACTTTAAGCCTTGAGACTTTTGTTTGCATTTCATGATTTTTATGAGGGCACATTTCATTAAGGAGCCAACCCAAACCAGACTGCGATTCTGAGATTCTGTGATTTTGTTCCATACCTTTAGCACTGGATGTAATTCTTAAATAATGGGCAAAATGAACCACAGATTCCTTCCAGTGCCAGTTATGTTAGTAGGGGTAAGACTGGAAAAGTAAATTGTGTTTTCTTCACCAGTGTCAGGAAACATGACCAAATTCAGGTTCCTCTTCATGCTGCATCAACAACCACCGCATCTTCAGGACCTGCGCATGCATCTTGTTCCAGTGCTAAGTAGTGCAGTTAGTTAGTAACTGCTGCTTGTGTCATAGCTACAGAAGGTCCATCATGCCTCAAACCTTAAATGGTGGCAGGTGTGGGCATATATGTAAGAGCACCAAGTCTTTACAGCGATGCCTCTATCTTCTCTCTGGCTTTTTAATTTTACTGAGAACTAACTTAGTACCTTTCTAGCCTAGTTTTAGTTGTCAGTAAAGTCACTCTTTCCAGTTGTCTTCCTATTTTCTCAGTAGCCTTTGATCTGTAAGGATCCGTCCCAGCAGCTGTGGCTGTCAGCTTCAATGTTTCTAGTGACTTTGCTGCTGCAGACTCTAACCAGGAAAACACTGAAAACCTCTTGATAGCCTTCATGACATGATGTGATGTGGCTTGTTCTTCAGATGGCACCATGTCTTGAATGCAGACATCTGCTGCCAGTGACTACACCCACTTGCATTGGATGGGAGTCACCAATAGCTCCACAGGTGCAGCCCCAAACCAACCTCTGCATAAAGGTAATTGAGAAGAAATCTAACAAAAGAGCAATTTACCTCCTGGCATGCATGTTTCTAACAGGTGACTTCTGTAAAAATAGTTTGATCCAGCTTGGGTTTCTCTTATTGCATTGTGAGAGCTTTAAGGGTTAATAGGATTCAAACCACCTTGAATAGAAATAAGCATTAAAGGTAAACCACGTAAGCTGAGGAAGGCATCTTGAAGAGCACAGGAGGCAGTTGTGTGAAAGACAGGACACGTGCACTTGTGTTCAGTAGGAGGTATTCTGTGATTCTATCATTTATGGCCTTAGTAGTACTGAGCATTTCATTAAATACGTCCTCATTACTCTGCTTCCCTCAGTTGATTGTAAGTGCTTGGCACAGATGGGCTGGCAGGACTGGGGCAGTGGGGAGATGCCCAAAAGGCTCAAGCGCCGCAGTAGTCAGTGATCCAAAAGTGCTGGTGGGCTTAACTAGACAAAATCTACCCTCCGGAATGCTCCTTACCCAAGGGTATTGGGACCCAGGTAGAGGCTGTCCTTCAGCCTTGCAGTCAGGGGAAAGAGTGTGAGAAGGAGTGAACTGATACAGCATGTCCACAACTGGTAGATTATAGGCACTGCCGCAGACTGGGTGTTTTCCTCATGGGGATATGAATCATTTTCCTTGCAGATAGTGGTCTTGCTGCTTTGTGTGAGTGCAGTGGCTGTTCACAGTTTGCAGATACCATGTGAAATGCATTCTTTCTCTACTTAAAAGGGCAAAGTAATTTGTCAGGCGTGTGGCACGTGAAATCTTCACCATAAACACTGTGTGACTTGTGCAAGCAGGCTGCCTGAAATACAGACGCTGAGGCTTCTTGCATCAATCACAGCTGGGTTAATCAAATCAAAGCACAACATTCTTTTTCTCTGGAAAACTGAAGTCATAGCCCTGTGTCCCTGTTATAAAAGCAGAGATGGCCTCCCTCATGGGGTATTCAGGGCCCATACTCCCACAGAACCTCCATCACAAATGTCCAGCTCAACAGAAGCGTACCTTTGAGTTCCTCCTGTGGAAGTCAGGACTGTGTGTGCCACTGTGAAAGCTGAGAAGGCTCTTAGGAAATGGGTAGTCTTGGCTCCAAGAGTTTTGTTTTGTTCAGATTATTTTCAATTGCAGTAGAAAACTTGAGTGTCTGTATCA